TTCTTCCTTCCTTCCTTCCTTCCTTCCTTCCTTCCTTCCTTCCTTCTTTCTTTCTTTCTTTCTTTCCTTCCTTCTTTCCTTCTTTCCTTCTTTCTTTCTTTCTTTCTTTCTTTCACAGAGAGAGAGAGAGAAAGGTCTTCCTTTGCCGTTGGCTCACCCCCCAATGGCCGCTACGGCCGGCGAGGCGCACTGCGCTGATCCAAAGCCAGGAGCCAGGTACTTCTCCTGGTCTCCCATGGGGTGCAGGGCCCAAGTACTTGGGCCATCCTCCACTGCACTCCCTGGCCACAGCAGAGAGCTGGCCTGGAAGAGGGGCAACCGGGACAGAATCTGGTGCCCAGACCGGCACTAAAACCCGGTGTGCTGGTGCCGCAGGCGGAGGATTAGCCTAGTGAGCCGCAGCGCCAATCTTTCTCTGCCTTTTAAATAAGTAATATTTTTTAAGAAAAACAGTTTGCCCCTGGTACATTATCAGACAGCAGTATGTTCTACAGTACTTCATTGTATTAAATTACCTGGCCTGGGAATTTTTAATAACCCTACAAATTTGAAATTAACTTCTGAATTGGACTTAAATTTAGCCATGGTAAACCTAAGAAAATGGCCAAGTTGTGGCAGTCTAAAATAACTTGCTCTTTTTGTCTGTAGGCCACTCAGCTAACAGAGCGCCCAGCCTGCGTGAAGAAAGATTACTCCAACTTCATGGCATCCCTGAATTTGCGCAACCGCTACGCAGGCGAGGTACTTCTCCAGCCCTTGTATCCAAGGCCCTTCAAAATATCCTCTTGTTCTGGTGCCACTGGGTTCATTCCCAGTGGAAAATGATGGCAGGGTCTCTGTGATATGGAATTCACCAATTGCTGGAGGGTTTCAAGGGCACAGGGCCTATCTGGTGCATTTAGGACAGCTTACCACCTCCACAGTAGGTGACTGTATGTACCCACACAGCAGCCACCACTGAGAACTCTGTTCTTTGGGCTCTTGTTGGAAGTGGTAACGAATGTTTGCTGAACACATGCTTTATCCTGGACTGCACTGAGTACAAAGATGGTCCGACATGCATTTCTAGAAGAGAGATTCTTTGAGAAAGAAGCTGTGAGCATTGGTAGAACCAGTGAAACGAGCCTGCACTCTGCATGCGTGGGCTGCACACTGGGACAGCAGGTACCCTCTGGGCCTGCCAAGAGTGTGGTCAGGTCACGGCCGGGCCCTCACCCACGTGCCTGGCATACGTGTGGGGCTGCTGACAAGCGTGCTTCTTGCAGGTGTACGGAATGATCCGTTTCTCGGGTGCCACAGGCCAGAGGTCCGACCTGAACAAGATGCTGGTCCAGGATCTGAATTCGGCTCTGGAGCTCAGCAGCCCGCAGCAGTACACGCAGGCCATGTTCAAGCTGACCGCCATGCTCATCAGCTGCAAAGGTAACACACAGCACGGACCGTGAAGGCTGGGTCGTTTCCAGATGAATGTTTGTCCTAACAGTGGAGTCCTGGAGCAGGAAAGGGCCGGAGTTGGCTCCTCCCCGACTCGCCCCAGGTAGAGACCCCTGTGGAATCTCTCAGAAAGTAAAGGAAAGGTCCTCATGGGCCCAGGCCAGGGCTCTTTGTTTTTGACCCAGGGAAGCCCTATTTGGGTGCAGCCAGGGCTGGAGACCTCTGAGCAGTGTGTGTTTGCTTCCAGATTGTGACCCACAGCTCCTGCATCATCTGTGTTGGGGCCCCCTGCGCATGTTCAACGAGCACGGCATGGAGACTGCCCTGGCCTGCTGGGAGTGGCTGTTGGCCGGCAAGAATGGAGTGGAAGTGCCGGTAGGACACTGACCAAGGGTCAGCTCCGGGCTAGGGCGGGGCCACCTCGCTCCACCGCCAGACCCCAGGCAAACCCCTCACCTTCTCACACCTGTCTCCCTCTAGTCTGCGTTATGAATGCCTGACCGTCCAGGGAGTGGACACAATCTGTTAAAAGCATCCTAGTGGGGCCTACAGGCAGATATTTTTCAATCTCTCGGTAGGGGGAGCCATTTCTCTGCTTAAATCGGAGGACCCAGCGGTTTGAACATTGTTGACTTCAGGTTTGGTTGGGAGCAGCTGATTGTCGTCAAGGCTGTTTTTCTTGACCTTCCAACTTTGGGATGAGCTGCCTTTCTCTGAGTCAGTTCTGAGCCTTCTCCTGCCTGGGGCCTGCAGGGAAGGCTGTTATGTAGGTGTGCTGATTGTAAAATGTTGGAGGATTTTTTAATCTTTGTATTTGCATAATGAGATCTCTTGTGGATGGGACCCAGATACAAGCCCAGATTTCATTTGTTTCATATGCGCCTTATACACATGGCCTGGAGGTAGTTTTCTGCAGTATTTTTAGTGCACCTCAAGTTTTGATGCAATTTGTCACATGAGGTGAAGGGTGTAATTTTCCACTGTTTCTTAAGATCGGTTGAGAGAAGTGTCTGAAGAGGGTGTTTTATTTTTCTTGTTCTCTCAGAGAAATGATGACTTTGAAAGGCAGAATTAGAAAGTTCCAGGCAGGTAGTAATGTTATTCATTGTAATATCTCACATTTGCCTCTGTGTGGGTTTGTGTCAGTCACACCATTCAGAATTGTGGGGCAACATTTGAGTCCAGTGGGCTTCTAACTTCATTAGGGAGGGGCTGGAAGAAGGCGACAGGGACCTGGCTCCCCCAGTGGTTCCTGAACCCTCTTTCTCTGTGGGGCTAAGGTGAGCGTGGCTTGTCAGCATGATTGGCTCTCTGACAAGTGAGCAGCCTGCAGGGTTGACCCAGAGCAGCGTTACATAGAATCCTAATCTGTATGGTGACAGTCACAGTGAAATCACCTGACCCTGGGAGTGACCGGTAAATGCCGACTGCTGCTGTTAGGATAGTTGGCATTGTTGCCAGAGAGATTCTGCATTCAGCCCTGGGTCACTGTACACAGCCCATGCTGTTTGTGCAGCCTCATCTCCCCCCAGCCTGCGTGTCTCCTGCTGCGTGGATTGTGCCTGATAATGGTTTTTGTTGTTGTTCTAAAAGTCAGAGGTCTTTCCAGGAAATCAAGAAGTGGATTTTTTTTAAGCCTTATAAGTTTATCCAAATATTTGCTGTTTCTTACTCTTTAAGTCTTTCTATATACACAGGGTTTTTCATGTGTGTTTTCGTGTTTTTGTTTTTTAAGCATTTCCCCTAGGTCTGCTGGAAATAAACTCTCACCTTTCGTTTTTGATGCGTGTAGATATTTCTCCTAGATCTAGGTGGCAGTTTGTGTTACTGCTTTTGGCGTGTCATGTTTTCTGCTGCCTGTTGCCTTGCATTGTTTCTAGGGAGAAGTCAACAGTCCTTACTGTTTTTCTTCTGGCTAGTTTCAGGATGAATCTCCTTATCTGTGGCTTTTAGTAGTTTGACTATGCTGTGCCCCAAGGTGTGGTTTCCTGTGTATTTATGCTGTTGGGATTCATTATGTAAATGGAGAGATTTAGCTGTTTCATCGGACCGGGAACATTTTTAAGGCAGTATCTCTTTAACTATATTTTTACCCCCTTCTCTTCTCCTTTTGAGATTCCATACACACATGTTGGTGACTTGAGGTCGGTTGTCCTTCAGGTCACAGACGTTCTCTTGCGTCTCTCATCCCTCTCCCCTGCCTATTGCGTTTAGCTTCCCTTCAGGCCTGTGTACCAGTTTTTTTCTGCCTTGTTCATTCTGCTATAAAATTTTCTTAATGTGTTCTTTATTTCAGATTCAATTCTGAGATACAGGATTTCTATTTATTTTTTTTAAGATTTTATTTGTTTTTTGAGAGAGTTACAGAGAGAGACAGAAACAAAGGTCTTCCATCCACTGATCCACTCCCCAAATGGCCACAATGGCTAGAGCTGGCCAATCCAAAGCCAGGAGCCAGGAGCTTCTTCCAGGTCTCCCACTTGGGTGCAGGAGCCCAAGCACTTGGGCCATCTTCCACTGCTTTCCCAGGCCATAGCAGAGAGCTGGATTGGAAGAGGAGCAGCCAGGACTCGAACCGGTGCCCATGTGGGATACCACTGGTGCAGGCGGAAGGCTTTTCACCTACTATGCCACAGCACTGGGCCCCTTTATTTAGTTATTTATTTACTTTTACAGTTTGTATTTTCTGCTCAAATTATTGCTCTTCTCATCCACTCTTTCTATTGTTATTGATAAACCTTTGAACATACTTAAAACAATTATTTTTTAATATTTATTTATTTTTTACTTGAGAGTCAGAGTTACACAGAAAGAGGAGAGGCAGAGAGAGAGAGAGAGAGAGGTCTTCCATCTGCTGCTTCACTCCCCAATTGGCCGCAACAGCCGGAACTACGCCGATCTGAAGCCAGGAGCCAGGAGCCTCCTTTGGGCCTCCCACGAGGGTGCAGGGCCCTAAGGACTTGGGCCATCTTCCAGTGCTTTCCCAGGCCGCAGCAGAGAGCTGGATCAGAAGTAGAGCAGCTGGGGCTAGAACCCGGTGCCCATATGGGATGCTGGCGCTTCAGGCCAGGGCATTAACCCGCTGTACCACAGCGCCGGCCCCTATAACAATTATTTTTTAAGTCCTTATCTGGTGTGTTAGTTGTAGTGTCTGTGTCATCTTTGGATCAATCTCTATTCATTTGTTCCTTTGCTATTTCAGAGTTTCTGATTGTATCCTGGACACTGTGCAGCTGGCCCTTGGCATTCTTGGGACTGGTTCAAATCCATTATAGAAAATGGCATAATATTTGCATGGAAGCTACACACACACTCCCCTGTACTTTATATCAGCTGTAGATTTTAGTACCTAATGCAGTGCAAATACTGTGTAAGAGGTAATACTACTGTATTGTTTAGGAAATGACCAGAAGAAAAAAAGTCTGTACATGTTCAGTGCAGATGCCAACTTTTTTCCCAAAATATTTTTTTTAAGATTTATTTATTTATCAGAGAGGCAGAGGCAGAGAGAGAAAGGTCTTCCATCCGCTGGTTCATTCCCCAGATAGCCACAATGGCTGGAGCTCAGCTGATCTGAAGCCAGGAGCCAGCAGCTTCTTCTGGGTCTCCTATGCAGGTACAGGGACCCAAGGACTTGGGCCATCTTCTACTGCTTTCCCAGGCCACAGCAGAGAGCTTAATTGGAAGTGGAGCAGCCAATACTTGAACCAGCACCCACATGGGAAGCCGGCACTGCAGGCAGCGGCTTCAACTGCTATGCCACAGCGCCGGCCCCTTTCCCAGATATTTTTGCCCCACTGTTGTTTGGCTCCAGGATATGTAACCTGTGTGTGTGCAGGGCCGGCTGTGCGTAGAAATCCTGCCTGCTGAAGAGTTCTGCTAATTCTGTTTCTCTAGGGTCTAATCTGGCTGCCCTTGGGATAGGGGTGGGGAAGGGCTAGTCTTGGCAGTAAGGGAAGGGTCTTTCTGCTTCTCATCCCACCTTCACTTATTTTCTTTTTATTTCCAACAAAATTGAGAGAGGAGTCAGTGCAAGTAATTTTTTTTTTTGAAAGACAGATTGACCGAGATTGTCCATCTGCTACTTCACTTCCCAAATAGCCACAATAGTCGGGGCTGAACCAGGTGGAAACCAGGAGCCAGGAACTCCATCCATGTCTCCCATGTGGGCGGCAGGGGCCCAAGTATTTGGCCCATTATCTGCTGCCTTCTCAGGTGTATTAGCACGAAATTGTACTGGAAGCAGAACAGCCAGAATTCAAACCATTGCCCTGATACGAGATGCCAGTGTTGCAGGCAGCAGCTTCAGCAGTTGTATCATAGCGCTGATCCCAGAGAGGTTTTTTGTGTGCCAAGAAAATGACTGTTTCAGGCTGGCGCCGTGGCTCACTAGGCTAATCCTCCACCTGTGGCGCCGGCACACCGGGTTCTAGTCCCAGTTGGGGCGCCGGATTCTGTCCCGGTTGCCCCTCTTCCAGGCCAGCTCTCTGCTGTGGCCCGGGAGTGCAGTGGAGGATGGCCCAGGTGCTTGGGCCCTGCACCCCATGGGAGACCAGGAGAAGCACCTGGCTCCTGCCGGATCAGCGGTGCACCGGCCACAGCACGCCGGCTGCGGTGGCCATTGGAGGGTGAACTAACGGCAAAAGGAAGACCTTTCTCCCTGTCTCTCTCTCTTTCTCACTGTCTACTCTGCCTGTCAAAAAAAGAAAAAAGAAAAGAAAAGAAAATTACTGTTGCAGTCGGGCTCTTTTGACTGCAGTCTGTGCTGCCTGCCCCTGCCATCACCAATAGCTTGGCTGGGTTCGTTGGATCCCTCAGCCTTGGCTGGCCTTCTCCACCCACCTGTCTCTGCTTTGACCTCAGCAATGCCCTAGGAGGGCTTTTAACTTTATTTCTTTGACTTTGCATTGTTGCGTATTCTATTCTGATTTTTTTGTTGTTGTTTTTTGGAGTTTTGTTTTTTTTAGTTTTTTTTTTTTCCCATTGTGTAAGCTATATATGCCCTGATGGAGAAGTTAGAAGATAAAAGCACAATGAGAAGGACAGAAATCATCCATGGGACCAGCTGTGGCACAACAGGTTAAGCTGCCACATCCTGACTGCACCACTGTCCAGCTTGCTGCTAATGCACCTGCAAGGCAGCAGGTAATGGGCCAAGTGCTTGGGCCCCTGCCGCCCACAGAGGAGACCAGGATGGAGTTCCAGCCCTAGATGTTGCAAGCACTTGGGAAGTGAACCATCGGTTAGAAAATCTCTCATCCTCTCTGTCCCTCTGCCTTTCAAGTAAATAAATCTTTTCCCAAAACTCTGTAACCCTGACTTCAGAGGTGATTGCTGGCGGTGGCATCTTGAGGCCCTTTCTTCCATTCACAAGGGACAAAGAGCAGGCGCGAGTGTGAGGACAGTGTGATCCTGACATCTGCTCAAGGTTGTGGCGCCTGGATTCCCCTAAGAGAAGAAAGAGCTGGGGTCCTTTGTACAGCGTGCAAGTCTCTGACCTGGTAACTTGTTCCTGCCACACGCTGGCCTGAGCCGAGTCCTAGCTGACAGTTTCTCTCACCCTTCTTGGTGATCCTCAGGTAGCACCGGTTCTGGAGTGTCTGACCCACCCCCACCCCCACCCCTGAGGACTTTTCCAGGCCTCAATCCAGTGCTCTTGCTTCAGGGACTTGGCTTTTGGAACCAGAATCCCTTCTAGTTCACCAGAATTCTTCCTGTGGTGTTTGGTTGTCATACTGGTGGCTGGGTGATTATTTGATAGGGCCAGGGACATCTGACCTTTTGTCAAGCAAGTCATAGCTGCACAGCACAAGGGTGCATTGTCCACCTGGAGCCTGCCAGTCCTACCAGCACCTGTAGTGAGCAAAGCACCACCCGCCTGCACCCTGTCTGTCTTGGGGGACCCTCCACTTCTCAGGAAGGGACCAGGATAGGCCTCCTCTTGGACTTTGACAGGGCAGGAAGGTGCCAGCCCTCACATCGTGTCTGAGGCTTCGGGTGCCCCTGACCTCTGATCTCACCATCTGGTCTTCAAATACAGGTGGCTCAGAAGAGCCCCTAAGGATCCCTGGTGGCAAGGAGGGTGAGCCCAGACCTCACCCACAGGCCCCAGGCAGTAGGAGGACAGGTTAGCCCAGGGCCAGCTACTCACAGCCCCTACAGTGTTTTGGGTTGCAGGTCCACCCCCTCCCCAGCCTTTGTGAATGCATCTCAGGGTCAGGTGGGACTAGCAGCATGTGTGGTCTTGCCAGGGTCATCACCTCCAGGCCAAGTGTGTTCCTCCAACTGCCTGCCCCACAACTCCATGGAGTTAGCTGATCTGCACCTCAACCAGACAGGCCCAGAGTCAGCCCTCGATGCCACCTCTACTGGCCACTGGTCCCCACTGCAGGAAGTTGCAGCATCACCCTTCCTCTGCTCAGACCAAGTCCTTTCAGCCAGCTCTGACCCCCTCCCCCTTTTCACATTTCCCCACTAACCCTTGGCCTTATCTTTTACCTTTAACATAGATCTAGAACCTAATTTCCCAGCATCCCAAACACTGTCCCTCAAGCAGCTGGTTTCCCTGCTTCTACCCCTCTCAGCCTTCTCCACATGCAGTCAGAGCCAGCAGTAAGACGTAGGCCCAGTCAGGTCCCTTCTGTCCCACCTCCATCAATGCCCCTAACACCCACTTACTCAGATGCACAGTGGCCTGCCACAAGTACGTGCTCGCTCCTCCTCCGAAGCCACCCTGGGATCCTGAGTTTCAGCCCTGCCTTCCAGAACACAGGCCGTGTCTGCTGTCCCCGCTCCCGAGGGCACACGCCTCCCTCTTGCATCTCCTCTGGGGTTGGTGTCCTTTTTCGTGGCCACCCAGTCCACATCTCCCACACACACTCCTGTTTGCTGTACTCTTCAGCTTTGCAACTGTTAGCTCCAAGTTACTACACCTGAAATACTTAGGCTGCTTATGGAGAAATTGTTTCTAGTTCTTAGTTCAGGATCAGGGGACCATAGTCTGGTGTCTGATGAGGGTCTGATGAGTGTGAGCAGACACAGGAAGGACCCTTGTCCTCATGTCCAGCTATCTCTGTCTAAAGCCATGGTGATCCAACTGCTGGCTCCATCTCAGCAGCTTAATCCAGTCCAATCCAGTCTCCCTGATCACTTCCTGAAGTCTGCAGCTTCAGATACCACAATTGGATTAATTCTCCACCCTTAATCCGTTAACCATGGATTTAAGACTTTGGGTCCCAAGCCTCTCACACGTGGGCCTTTGGGGGCACCCAAACTAATACTCAGATTAAAGCAGCATTGTCAGTGTCCCATGTCCATCGTTTATTTCTTCTTGTCCGTGGCCCTCACCATAGACCACGTGGATTTTTGTTTTGTTCGTGGCTCCAGCTCTGTTCCCGGACCCCAGAAAGTCCCAACACCAAGGCAGCCATTAGGACATGGCTGTCAGTCTAATGAGTGGGAATGTGGCTTTCACTTGGGTCCTTTACCCCATCAGTTAGGGTCTCCTTCTTCCCTCCACTTCTGTTCCTCTGTCATACCACGACTTAACATGTGGCTGTGGGAGACAAGAAGGAGTTTCTCCTCTGTGTCACAGGCTGCTCACAGGGAAGTGCAGACTGAGTGGCCCATGGGTATCCTGGGCCCTTGAGCAGTTCTGCCATCCTTTGCCCGTGTGCTCTTTGTCCTCATCTTCATGGCCTCTAGAAGGTTCTGAGCCCCAGACAGGAAGGATACCTGCTATATGCTCTGACCTTCAGAAGCACACCTGGCTTTCCTGGGGCTCACCCACTTCACTCCCGCCTTGCTCAGTAGTGCCACTGAGCACCTGTGGCCACCCCACCCGGCAGTAAGCCTGGGGGACAGTGTGTGGGACTGGCCACTTGGTTACCCTGAGCCACATCAAGAAGAAAGGGGGATAGTGGCAGAGGGAGCCAGAGCTTTTGCTCCTCCCACCTGGCCCTATTGCCACTCTGCTCAGGGGTTGGAGCCCCAAGTAGCCAGCTGGCATCATTTGGGCCAACAAAGGGATGAAAGCTTGCTGGCCCAGCCCCAGATGCTGCCTCCTGGTCTTCTGTGTGAAACACCTGTAACTCAGGTTCCCACCTGGGAGCCATAGCACAGGTACTCCCTCCCACACCCACATCCCTTCTAGGCCACCACTTGGCTCTGCCTGGGCATCCCGTCCCTTCACCCAGAAGAGGGCCAGGCTGAGTGTGGCTGGGCAGGGGAGCAGCCCAGCCGTAGTGGCTTTAGGCCTCCCCGACTCCCTTGCGCATCCCCAGTTCTGACTGGGGAATGAAGGCCTTGTGTGAGGTGGAGGAAAGGAACTGGGCTCTGAAGCCAGACTCGGGTCCTGCCTTGTCAGCTCGGAGGCCCCGAGCCGGCGGTCTTACCTTGCAACCACAAGTGGCCCTCAGGATTATTGGAGAGATTTTACAGGGGTGGGGGACATCCAGCCTGCAGACCATAAAGCTCCCAAGAAATCACTGGCCTCACCCTGCCAAGGCAACCACGGGCGGGACTCAAAATTCAGTAAATCTTTACAGGCTAAATTATAAGTTGATAATTTAGTATGGCCCTGGAGTGATGTTAGTAACGTCTAAATGGCCCTTGGCAGTAAAAAGCGTTCCCAGGTTGAGGGCCCATGTGGTATCTGGCATGTCACAGGTGTGCTGCCACTCCCCACTCAGCCCTGCCAGGCTCCACAGACTGGGACACAGCATGTGGGCTGGAAGCTCAGCCCCAAACACTGACGTGGAAGACTGTGGGGTGGGGGTTGGAGTGATCTTTATTTTTCCTTCCTACTTTCCTTGGTTTCTGGGTTTCACTCCAGGAATACACATTCTTTTTTCTGTAATTAAAAGAGAAACGGTGGCCCCATTTTTGTGCTCCTCAGAGGAGTTGACGTATCCCTTTGCTCACAGTTCATGCGGGAGATGGCTGGGGCCTGGCATATGACCGTGGAGCAGAAGTTCGGCCTGTTCTCTGCTGAGATAAAGGAGGCAGATCCCCTGGCAGCCTCGGAAACCAGCCAGCCAAGACCCTGTCCTCCGGAAGTGACCCCCCACTACATCTGGATCGATGTACGTAGCCACCTCCCCCACTCCAAGCCTGACCTGGGGGGGTGCCTTCTCACCCCCTCCACAGCCCCACCCTGTTCACCACTGCCGTCACCTCAGAGCCCAGGTCCCCTGCTAGGCTGCCCCGGGCCTGCGCCGGCCCAGCCTCACACCGTGGTGTTTGCCTTCTCACTCAGTTCCTGGTGCAGCGGTTTGAGATTGCCAAGTACTGCAGCTCTGACCAGGTGGAGATCTTCTCCAGCCTGCTGCAGCGCTCGCTGTCCCTGAACATCGGCGGGGCCAAGGGCAGCATGAACCGGCACGTGGCAGCCATCGGACCACGCTTCAAGTGAGGGCTCTCTTCTTGGGGTTTCTGGGGTCCCAGGAGGAGTTGGGGTGGATCGCATACGGTGTGGGTCTTTGGCGTGTGTTGTCTCGCTTCTGTAGGGTGTGGCATGGGACTTGGCGCCATCCCTAGGTGATGGGGAGAAGCTTGTCGGAAGCGTCCTTCCTAATCTTACAAAGCCATGAACTTGCTCGAGTTGGCTAAAGTATCCCCACCCCCACTCCTACAGTCAGGTCCTACTTGTGAGGACTGCAACACCCAGTCGCCGCAGCCCAGGTGCAGTGGGGGCCCTCACTGCCACCATCTGCTCTATCTGCCCCTCCCCTGAGTGCCCAGCTCACATCCCCTCAAAACACAGGCCACCCACTGGGCTGTACTTCTCAAGAAAGCCATAGGCAAGGGCCAGTTTCTCCTTCCTCCTCATCTCTCATCTGTCTTGAGCTATATTCTTTTATTTTTTTTAAGATTTTATTTATTTGAAAGGTAGAGTTACAGATAGTGAGAGGGAGAGACAGAGAGAAAGGTCTTCCTTCCACTGATTCTCTCCCCAAATGGCCACTACGGCCAGCGCTGCACTGATCCGAAGTCAGGAGCCAGGAGCTTCTTCCTGGTATCCCACACAGGTGCAGAGGCCCAAGCACTTGGGCCATCTTCTACTGCTTTCCCAGGGCACAGCAGAGAGCTGGATTGGAAGAGGAGCAGCTGGGACTAGAACCAGCGTCCATATGGGATGCTGGCGCTGCAGGTGGAGGATTAACCTGCACCGGCCCCTTGAGCTGTGTTCTTATAAAATGAGAATGGGTTACTGAAAAACAGTCCTCAGTGAGCCATCGCAGCAATGGACAGTTGTCACAGAGACGGACAGCACTCCCTGTGGGTCTCCGTGCCTATGCAGTGCGGTTACAGCACTGTAGATGTACACAGGGGTGTTGCCTCACCCTCAGCTGGCCTTCCTGCCTCCCTCTGCATCCTCCAGGATGGCCCCGGTCCTCGGGTGTGCCTGGTGTAGACACTTGGTTTTCCACTGGCCCTGGTCCTCAGGTGTGCCCGGCGTAGGCACTTGGTTTTCCACTGGCCCCGGTCCTCGGGTGTGCCCGGTGTAGGCACTTGGTTTTCCACTGGCCCCGGTCCTCAGGTGTGCCTGGTGTAGACACTTGGTTTTCCACTGGCCCTGGTCCTCAGGTGTGCCCGGTGTAGACACTTGGTTTTCCACTGGCCCCGGTCCTCGGGTGTGCCTGGTGTAGACACTTGGTTTTCCACTGGCCCTGGTCCTCAGGTGTGCCCGGTGTAGGCACTTGGTTTTCCACTGGCCCCGGTCCTCAGGTGTGCCTGGTGTAGGCACTTGGTTTTCCACTGGCCCCGGTCCTCAGGTGTGCCTGGTGTAGGCACTTGGTTTTCCACTGGCCCTGGTCCTCAGGTGTGCCCAGCGTAGGCACTTGGTTTTCCACTGGCCCCGGTCCTCAGGTGTGCCCGGTGTGGGCACTTGGTTTTCCACTGGCCCCGGTCCTCGGGTATGCCCGGTGTGGGCACTTGGTTTTCCAGGCAGGATGTCTGACCTCGTGTCTGTGGCCTCAGTTCCTCCTCACCAGTCTCCTTGGACTAGCCAGCTGCCCAGCAGTGACCGCCCCCTCACCCCTCACAACACCTGACCCTGGCAGGCCCCTGTGGCTTGTATACAGAGCAGGTGCTGCTCTGGCTGGCTGGGATGGCTCTCTTGGAGGGTGGCCTCATCACACCGTCCCTTCTACAGTACACCTGGGGATGGCCCGAAGGTCCACGATGCCCCAGCACTGGCTACCCCTGAGCCTTGGCTCCCATAGCCACCTGCCTCTGGACCTGGGCACCCTGTTTCTGCCTAGCAAGACACTGATGCTCAGGGCCCATCTCACTGCCAGCCCTTCCAGACCTCACTCGGTAGCTGGAGCCTATGCCCCAGAGTCCCCGTCTGTAAGATTCAGCGTGGCTTTTCACTGCAGAACCTGCTCAGGAAGACCCCTGATCTCCCGACCCAGCCCCAGATTATAAACTCACTGCCCGCAGGAATGGTGCCTCCCCCACAGTCCCTAATACCTCGTTGTGTGGGACCTGGCTCAACAGAAACCAGGTGCTTGAATTTTTTTTCTTTCTACCTTGAATCAGATGGTCTACCTTTGTGGGGGCCTGCAGATAGTTTATGAGACTGAAGTCTGTGGCCCAGGCAGGCAGATTACCACACCAGTTACACAGTTTTCTCCAACAAAAGTGAAGGTTAAAAAAAAAATTCCTGTTGTGGCACAGCAGGATAAGCTCTGCTTTTGACCCTGGCATCCTGTATCAGCAGAGTGCCAGCTCAGGTAAGTCCCAGCTACTCCGCTTCTGAGCCAGCTTCCCCCAAATGCGCTGGAAAGGCAGCAGACGGTAGCACAAGCTCTTGAGTCCCTGCTGCTGACGAGTGAGGTCAGGATGGGGCTCCTGACTCCTGGCCTCACCTGGCCTAGCCCTAACTGTTGCAGCCATTTGGGGATTGAACCAGCAGGCAGAAGATACCCTCCCACTCACCCACCCCAAAAAAAAACTGTCATTCTGTCTTTCAAAAACTTAAACAAACAAGCAAACAAAAACAAACCTGTGACCAGTAATCAGCTGGCTGATGTCCCAGTCCAGGCTCTTCCGTCCAGATGTGTGCCCTGGACCCAGGGGCCACATGGTCTGCGTGGGAGGCCAGGACCCTCACAGCTCAGCTCCGTGCAGGGTTCCCACTGACCTGGCCCTGCTTGCCGCTCTCTCCCAGGCTGCTGACCCTGGGGCTGTCGCTGCTGCATGCCGATGTGGTTCCGAATGCCACCATCCGCAACGTGCTTCGTGAGAAGATCTACTCCACTGCCTTTGACTACTTCAGGTACTTCACAGGGTCCGGGACAGCCCAGTGCCCCAGAGGTCACCCACAGAAGCCACAGTTTGCCTGCTGTATGATTGCCAACCTCCGATATAGCTTCAGCCCTTGTGGTGTGTGTGTCCGTGTGTGTGCGTGCGTGCCCTGTGGATACGCTTGTGTGTATGCATGTGCTTCGAGCTAACCTCCTGAGAGATGCGTGCAGATTTCCTCTCCGTTCAGTTGATTTAAGAGATTAAGTGCATGCCATTTGTGTTTCCTGTCAATGTGAATAGTTAGCACGTGAGGAATTGTAAATATGCAGTGCCCGGGGCTGTGCAGGTGCTGCTTGGTTGTCTGTAGACAGCTTGGTTGTCTTACTCTGCTCAAGCACATCATCAGCGGAGAGCTCTGGGAGTCTCTGAGGGTAGTGCTGGGGTGGGCACGAGAGGACTCCAGACCTTCCCGTGGGAGTCTGTGACATCCCTGGTGCTGGTGACCAGCTCCGTGCTAACCTCTTGTTGTCAAGAGACCACTATGTTACCTCTCCCTGCTTTATGGGACTGGCTTCCGGCCCTGACCCCAGGCGCTCAGCTCTTGTCCTCTTGTGGTTGTTTGAAGTTGTCCCCCAAAGTTTCCTACTCAAGGAGAAAAGCGGCTGCGAGAAGACATCAGCATAATGATTAAGTTTTGGACCGCCATGTTCTCAGATAAGAAGTACTTGACCGCCAGCCAGCTCGTCCCCCCAGGTAACCATTGCTCTTAGTAGTGCACCTGCTCACAGGGGTGGGGACAGGTGGGACAGTGTGCTGTGGACAGCCATGGAGGAGCCAGTGCCCAAGCCAAGGAGTGTGGCAAGCACAGGAGGCTTCAGACACCCCTCCCGCCGCGGCTTCTCTTCTCCATGTGCCAGCTCAGCTCCCAGCACCCGCTGAGCCAGTGCTGGGCTCAGGCCAGTGTGCCCAGATGACTTAAGACCAGGGCCTTGCCACCTGGTAGGAGGGAGACAGACAGGTACTTGCCATATGAGAGAACCTTGGGAACATCCATCACGGATAGGCACTTGGTCTAGCCGGAGTTGGGGAGTCAGAGACGGTTTTCTGGAAGCAGTGACATCTGAGCTGAGTCTGGAAGGATGAACAGGAGCTAGCAGAGTGCACAGGGACAAAGAGCCCTGCGTGAGGGCGTGCTCCTGGAGACACACTGAAGCGTAAGCCAGCAGCCCACCTCCAAAGGAAACTTCGTCCTAGTTTCTCTGGGCCCATGGCTGATTGCAGACCATGGATTGAGAGATGAGATGGGTTTCTCTAGCCAGACCCACAGCTGACACCCCGACTGCAAGAAAGAAAAGAAAAAGCAGACACAATGATTCATTGATTTAGATATTTTCATTTTTTTAATCAGAAAGGCAGAGAGAGAGACAGATCTTCCATTGCTGGCTCACTCCCCAAGTGCCTCCAACAGCCACAGCTGAGCCAAGCCAAAGCTGGGAGCCAGGAACTTAATCCAGGTCCCATGTGGGTGGCAGGCACCCAAGTACCTGAGCCATCACCACCTGCTGGCTTCCAGAGTGCGCATTAGCAGGAAGCTGGAATCAAAAACAGACCCAGGACTTGAACCGAGGCACTCTGACAAGCAGCAGCTGAACGCTGCACCAAATGCCTGCTTGATTCTACTCGAAAGGCTGGCTGGAACCTAGTGAATCCTAGAAAGCTGTCCACCTAGAATGATTGAGATGAACAGCTTCTCGCCATCAGGAGTGTTTGTCCTGCAAGGCCCGCCTCCGCCAACTCCCGTGCTGCAGAACGCGCCTGGGCTGCCGCTGGCCTTTTCCCTGGCGCAAGTGCACACTGCTCTTTGTGCTGCCTTTCCTTGAGCCGGCTCATCCCAGAATCGACGCTGTGTTTGCCCACAGATAACCAGGACACCCGGAGCAACCTGGACATAACTGTGGGCTCCCGGCAACAAGCCACGCAAGGCTGGATCAACACCTACCCCCTGTCCAGCGGCATGTCGACCATCTCCAAGAAGTCAGGTCGGTGGGAGGTTCACTCCTACATCCGCCACCTCCTGGCAACCTGATGGACATGCGCTGCAGTGGCAGAACAGAGCGCTGAACGGCAGCTCCCACTTGGTTCTAGGAGCAGAGGGTGGGCGGGGGCCCCCGGGACCACTCCTGTGCTCTTTCCTCCCTAGGCATGTCTAAGAAAACCAACCGGGGCTCCCAGCTGCACAAGTACTACATGAAGCGCAGGACGCTGCTGCTCTCCCTGCTGGTAAGGCCCTTAGGCATGGCCGCTGCCCCCATGGCCAGACACGGCACACTGGGGCGGGAGTGGCGTGTGCAGGCCTGCAGCAGGCGCTCAGGGCATGGTGTATGGTCTCCCCAGGCCACCGAGATTGAGCGTCTCATCACATGGTACAATCCACTGTCGGCCCCGGAGCTGGAGCTGGACCAGGCCGGAGAGAACAGCGTGGCCAACTGGAGGTCCAAGTACATCAGCCTGAGCGAGAAGCAGTGGAAGGACAATGTGAACCTCGCCTGGAGCATTTCTCCTTACCTGGCCGTGCAGCTGCCAGCCAGGTGGGCCCCCGGGCCAAGGGCCTGGCCGAACGTCCGGCGTGGGGCGCTTGCCTGCCGGGTCACGAGTGCGGGGGAGGTGATGGGGCCCCCACCGAGGACGGCCAGGAAGCTGTGTGGCAGCCAGTTCTTGCCCAGGACATTCAGGCCATCTTTATGTTGAAGGGCCACACGGCAGCCTTGCGGTCTCGTGAGACTGTTAACCTGGGGGCCCAGCACTTTGGAGCCTGAGGAGGCAAATCAGGGAGAACCCAGTGCCGAGATCTGATTCATGGAGGAGAGGGCTGGCCAGGAGCTGTTGTTCTCGGGATGTAGGCCGCAGAGGTGGGCTCCCGGAGGGCTTGGGTTTGCTCCTGGATGTCACATTTGAGCAGCACTCTCCTGGGAACCCTCCCGGGGCAGCCCTTAAAGGGACCAAACAGGCCGATGAAAAGAGAAGGGCTGCAGAGACTGCCATGGAGCAGGCCCGCCAGGCAGCCGCAGCTCCTCTGGCAAACGGATGTTGCTTCACTGTGAGCCCAGAGCTGCCTTCTTACTGCTTCCTCCCCCCGGTCCTGAGCTGATCACAGGGCAGGACCAGACCAGTTGTCCTGCATGTTTCAAGCATAATGTTGTTAGCCTGGGGTGGTAGCATCATGAAAACATGCCCGCCCTGTCACCGGGGACTGACTTGCGGCCACTCCCATGCATGGGCTGTGGGGGGCAAGGGCAGGGCATGCGGTACAGGAAAGGAGTGGGTGTTCTAAAGGCAGGGACTGCACACTGGCAGTTCCTGCTCAAGAAAAGATCTGGCTCATACTTTTATTATTTTTATTATTACTTTTTTAAATTTGTTTTTATTATTATTTATTTGGGCCATCTTCTGCTATCCTGGGCCATAGCAGAGAGCTGGACAGGAAGTGGAGCAGCCGGCTCTCGAACCGGTGCCCATATGGGATGCTGGCACTTCAGGCCAGGGCGTTAACCCACTGCGCCACAGCGCCGCCCCTGGCTCATCCTTTTTCAGCCCTAGCATTGAGGTTTACCAATACGTTCATAGCATGGAACGTTTACTTGTCATTCGAGATCAGCCAGAATCTCTCCAGGTCAGCTTCACCCTCCAGCTTCCCTCCTGCCATGGTGGCTGGGAGGCCTCCCCACCCACACCCTATGTGTGTCATAGGTTTAAGAACACGGAAGCCATCGGGAACGAAGTGACCCGTCTGGTTCGGTTGGACCCAGGAGCTGTTAGCGATGTCCCTGAAGCTATCAAGGTAACATAACCCATGTCCTGGGGGCCTAGGTTTAACTTGCACAAAAACAGAAGCACCAGGAAACAAGAAAATAAAACAATGTGACCTCACTGGTATGAATGATTTCTCTTAATGATGTGTTTTCCACTCCTAGTATGTGGCACTTGTGTTTGCAATAGGAAAAATGGAATGTATTCATTCTGATTGCGGTTACGCTGTTACATGTAACATGTAACTACCAGCAGTTACAAGCACCTTTATAAACATCACCTGTTGTGGCCATTCCCCTGAGCCACCTGTTTCCTGCTCTCCCCAGTTCCTCGTCACCTGGCACACCATCGACGCCGATGCTCCTGAGCTCAGCCACGTGCTGTGTTGGGCACCCACGGACCCGCCCACAGGCCTCTCCTACTTCTCCAGCATGTACCCCCCACACCCTCTCACAGCGCAGTATGGGGTGAAAGTCCTGCGGTCCTTCCCCCCGGTGAGCCTGGGGCTCTTCCAGAGCCAGCCTGGGGTGGGCCCCTCTGGGAGTGCTTGAGTGGATGGAGGAAGGGGTTCAGGGCTTTGTGGCCAACCTGGAAGGCACTGCACTGAACACCAGTCCAACCTAGAATGCGTCATCATTCCCCAGTTTTGTTCGTGTAGATGTAGAGGACGGATGTCAGTCTAGTTCAGATGTTAGCGTTTTGTTTTTCAGCTTTACTCAGGTGTTTTAGAAATAAAGTTTACTTGAGTTGGGCTTCAGAGGCCTTGCATGGGTCGGTCGCAAGCATACTCCCCCTTGGTAACCACCCGTGCCTCTTTACCTTGCCAGTGAATGTTCACAGGAATCCTGTAGGACAGCTCTGATGACGGGCGGGGGTGTCTATAGAATGTTCTAGAGCCTGACTCACTGCAGGGCCAGCACTAGATGCCCTACCCTTGGGTTGGTTTCCCAGAGGCAGTGTTCTCATTGTAGGCACAGGAGCCTGCCTTCGGTTATCTCACCAGCAAGGGTTTGAAGCCATGGGTCGTTTTCTTGCTGCCCCCGGCCCTCCCTAGTTCTCAGCCCTGCTGTGGGGCTCCCAGGAGAGCAGCAACCTGAGGGCAGAGCTGAAGCAGGGATGGGGCTCAGTGCCCCTCGCGTGTGTCGTCTGTGTTGCTCCTAACCTCAGAGGTCATGGTCGACTCTTCCTCTGCAGGACGCCATCTTGTTCTACATCCCCCAGATCGTGCAGGCCCTCAGGTATGACAAGGTAGGCTGGACGGATACAAACTCCTCCCCACCCCAGGGCTGTGCGCACTCCTGCCCCCACACCCAGCCTGTCCCCACCCGTTCAGGCTCTGCAGCACCTCCCTCAGATCTCTGAGTGCTGCACCCATGGCTGCCCCTCAGTCACCAGTCGCCCTGACTCACTGCCAGACTCACTGCCGCCTTGTCCTGAGGCCCAGTCGTGCTCTGCAGAGTGGGTGGGCTCTGGGATTGTTGTCAGCTTCTTCCTCTGGGCGGCAGCCTGGGCTCCTCCGGATGAGGTCTCTGTAGGTCACCTGAAATCCAAGTCCAGCCCTCTGGATGTGGCGAAGAGGAGCCCATGAGATGATGTGGGTGTTAGTGTGGGCTGGGCAGTGCAATCAATAGACCTACTCTTCTCTTTTGTCTTGTATTTACTTACGTATTTATTTATTTTATTCATTTGAAAGGCAGAGTTAGAGGGAGAGACAGAGAGCAAGCTTCTGTCTGCCGGTTAACTCCCTAGATGATCACAACAGCCAGAGCTGGGCCAGGCTGAAGCCAGGAGCTAGGAGCTTCTTCCAGGTCTCCCCTGTGGGTGGCAGGGGCCCAAGTATCTGGGACTTGAGCTGTCTTCCACTGCTTTCTCAGGCCATTAGTAGGGAGCTGGATGGGAAGTAGAGCAGCCAGGATTTGAACCAATGCTCATATACATGCTGGTGTCCCTCGTGGTGGCTTTCTCTGCCACACCACAATGCCAGCCCCTTATTTTCATGTAAATCTAGAGATTGGAAGTCCAAGACAGGAGTGACTGCAGGGCTGGCTTCTCCCAGGGCCTCTCCTGGGGTTGTCCTGGCCGCCTTCTGTGTCCTCACATGGTCCTTACCTCCCTTCTTAAGGACACTAGTCAGACTGGATGGGCCCTCTCCTCCGTCCCCCGGCTTCAGCAGGAATTTGGGGGACACTGTTTGGCCCGTAGTGGTGGACCTGTCCTTTACATGCTCCTGACACACCGCAGAAAATACCATGGTGGGGACCGCCCAGGCCCAAGGCCATGCCCCCAGGGCAGCGCCTCACTCCAAACCCACCCACCTCCTGGTGCGTGAGCCCTGGAGTCAGTTTGCTTCTCAGTGTTAAACATGAACAACATCAGCCGCTTCCAGCCTGTTTTTCTCCCTCCCTGTTTTTATTAGCCTTATGGTTTATACATCCCTAAATAAGCAAAAAAAGTGTATCTAAAAGCACTGCAGGTTGAACATTTATGGTTTATCTTGAGGTCCATGTATGAGTTAGGATTGGGAAACCCATAGCAGCAAGGTATCTGAAGTCTTGCCTGTGTGATAACCTGCACCCCCACCCACCAGGTAAGGAACCTGGGCCAAGGAATCCACCAGAGGGTGGCTTCAGACTGTGGCAGGGGTGGGGTGAGGCGAGGCCTCTCCTACAGGCGTCTTCCCATTAAACTGGAGTTACCCCAGTGAGTGGCAGAGAAGGCAGAAAAGGGCCGGAGAGGAAGAGGGAGGAAGGTGTCTAGGGTGGTGACTGTAGGTCTGCCTTGTGAAGCACTGTCTCTGTATTAGTTTTCTGGAACCTGCACATCATTTTGCTTCATTATTCTAAACAACCAGCTTACAAATGAGCTTTTGATACCTGGCCCATTCATTTCTCATATCTGACAATCTCAAAAATTGGTTTGCACATCATGGTTCCTAATTGGAGGAGACAGATGCCAACTCCAGCCCATATTGCAGACCCCAGCCAGCCACCAGCCCCTGCCTCACCCTGGCCCTGGAGAGCATTCCCACCTGGACTGTGTGGCTTCACTGGCTGGGTCTGCCAGAGTGAGGAGTCGGCGCCTCTCCTGGTGGGGGGCCCATGCTTGGGGTGACAGTGGCCGTGCTCTCCTGCAGATGGGCTACGTGCGCGAGTATATCCTATGGGCAGCATCCAAATCCCAGCTGCTGGCACACCAGTTTATCTGGAACATGAAGACTAACATCTACCTCGACGAAGAAGGGCACCAAAAAGACCGTGAGTGTTTCCTGCTCCCCTCAGGTCTCCCTCCCCCTCTTGGCACCACCAGCGGCTGCCCAGAGCTTTGGACAGTTTGCAGCGTGCGTGCTGTCCAAGCCTGCGGACCCTCTACTTCCCATCCTTTGGCAAGGTGCTTCTCGCTTCTCCCTGTCTCAACACATGGGGGAGCAGCCCCCCTCCCCTGCTTCCACCCCGCAGTGTCCAAGTGAGAGCTTCCCGCTGGGAGCTGCGGCTGCCTGTGACGATAGACACCCCGCCCAGGGTAGCAGGTCTCAGACCCTCCTAAAAGCTGCTGAGACCCTCAAAGAACTGTAGTTTATGTGGCCATCAGCTGTCAGTGCCGATCAGAATTAGAAATTAAAATTAGAAATTAAAACAGCTTAAAAAGTAAGCCATTCATTGCATGTTACCATAAGTAACACCTTTTTCTAGAAAGTAAGCTTTCTAGGTCAGCGCCGCACCGCGGCTTACTAGGCTAATCCTCCGCCTGTGGTGCTGGCACCCCAGGGTCTAGTCCTGGTCGGGGCGCCGGATTCTGTCCCGGTTGCTCCTCTTCCAGTCCAGCTCTCTGCTGTGGTCTGGGAGTGCAGTGGAGGATGGCCCAGGTCCTTGGGCCCTGCACCCGCACGGGATCAGCGCGGTGTGCCGACCACAGCGCAACAGCCGCAGCGGCCATTGAGGGGTGAACCATCGGAAAAAAGGGAGAGCTTTCTCTCTCTCTCTCTCTCTCTTTCTCTCCACTCTGCCTGTCAAAAAAAAAAAAAAAAAGTAAGCTTTATCCCAAAAAACTCAAATATGAGCAAGAAGAATGGCACTTATTTACATTTTCACAAATTTCGTTTCTGGGGCCGGCGCCATGGCTCACTTGGTTAATCCTCTGCCTGCAGCACTGGCATCCCATATGGGCGCCGGGTTCTAGTTCCGGTTGCTCCTCTTCCAGTCCAGCTCTCTGTTGTGGCCCAGGAGTGCAGTGGAGGATGACCCAAGTCCTTGGGCCCTGCACCCGCATGGGAGACCAGGAGGAAGCACCTGGCTCCTGGCTTTGGATCAGTGTAGCTCTGGCCGTAGTGGCTATTTGGGGGGGTGAACCAACAGAAGGAAGACCTTTTTCTCTCTCTCTCTCTCAACTGTCTGTAATTCTGTCAAATAAACAAAAAAATCCAAAAAAAAAAAAAAAAAAAGAATTTCGTTTCTGGCCTCATCGAAGACGGCTGGACTCTGGCTGCCTCGTCTTTCCGCTCTGTGTTTCTTCCATACATTGTTTCAGCAGAAGCAAATGTAGAAAAGTCAGCCTTGTATGGGTTTACCACTGGCGGGGGGGTGGGGGGGTGGGTGTGCATTTTCATCGTTTTGTCAGCTCATTGGCTCTGCACATCAGGTTTGGCAAGTGTTAGTCTTAGGCTTACTCACAAAGTGGCTTTTCATGCTCTGATCCCTTCAGTCCCTGGTCCCCCTCACTAACCTCAGGAGGGCTTGTGTATAAAAGAACACGGGGGTTACCCAAGTGTTGATGTATTCGTTGTGCAGCATTGCTAACTAACACCCACAAGTCACCAGGAAGCTGTTGAGTTCCTGGCAGAAGATAAGAGTTTTCGAAAATCCTAGAAGCTGTTCTCCTTTAAGTGGCAGACTCTTTTTTTTTTTTTAATCACTTCCAAGAAAACGTTGCCAGAGAGGTTAGTTCAGCTGGAAAGCAAGGCAGATGCTAGAAGCTTCTCGGGACAGCGCTGCTCAGGCACCCCAGGGGCGCTGGTCCTCGTCCTGTTTGATCACACAGAACGTGAAGAGCCAGGTTCGGGGTGAGCCTTCAGAATGCTCAGCATGTACGCTGCTTCTCCGAGGACATCGGCAAGGGCACCGGCGGCGCTCTTGCTGCAATACAGAGCTCTGCTCAGGCGCCGGCTGCCTCTCCCAGCAGCCTCGCCCCGTCAGAGAGAAGGGCAGCGGCACTGGGGGTGGCCCCACGCCGAGTCTGCAGGGCACACTGCATGAGCCGCTGGTCCGGGTGCTGGGACTCCTGGCTGGGTTTTCTCGGGAGCCGCCTGCAGCACCCACAGGGCTCAGCTCTGTCTCTTCGGCAGCTGACATCGGCGACCTCCTGGAGCAGCTAGTGGAGGAGATCACAGGCTCCCTGTCGGGTCCAGCCAAGGATTTCTACCAGCGGGAGTTTGATTTCTTTAACAAGATCACCAACGTGTCGGCCATCATCAAGTAAGTGGCGGTGCCTCAGAAGCCGTCTCTGGGATGTCTCCTCCCAACCCCTGCTGCTCATTGGCATTGCCCTGGCGGGCTTCACAAAATACCCAGGGCCAGGGGCCAGTTCTGTGGTGGTGCAGTGGGTTAGGCCCCCACCTGCAGCGCCAGCATCCCACAGAGGTGCTGGTTTGAGTCCCAGCTGCTCCACTTCCAATCCAGCTCCCTACTGATGAGCCTGGAAAAGCAGCAGAGGATGGCCCAAGTGCTCAGGGCCCTGTACCCACACGGGAGACCAGGAGGAGGCTCCTGGCTCCTGGCTTGGGCCTGGCTCAGCCCTGGCCATTGCTGCCATTTGGGGAGTGAACCAGTGGATGAAAGCGTTCTCTCTCTCCTCTTCCCTCTCTGTAGCTCTGCCTTTGAAATAAATTAGGGTGGTGGGGGGGGGAACCAGGTCCAGACTCAGGCCAGCCCCACCAGATAAATGGGAATGACTGGTGGTAACCATGACCGCCGCTGACTCAGGCGCAGCCTGGGAGGAGGCACCACGCTGGAGGATTCCAGGCAGTGTGCACTGCTAACTTCAGAAAACAGGTCTTAGCTACCTTCCACACACTGTACCCAGCTTGAGGCCACTCTGTTCTCTCCAAGCTCCAAAGGGCCCTACGTAGAGTCCAGAAAACTAGATGGTGCAGCTCTCGTCATCGCTTTTCTGGGCCCTGGCTCTTGTGGATCCAGCATCATCCATGAGCCCAGGCAAGAAACACTGGGCACTGCTCTTGGCAGCCTCCTGGCCTGGGCTGTCTCCAGCACCCAAGTGGCTCTTACCCTGGTTACCACGAGGCCTACCCACATCTCCCGAGACTTCTCCCTGGGCTGGGCGCTGAGAGGGCAGTGATGCTGGGCCGGTGGGGGTGGGCGGAGATGGCACTCCTGGGCCGCCTCACACAACAGGCACTTGCCCAGGTTACACCTCTCATCCTCATCTGAAGGCACGCAGCCCACGGGGCTGCCCAGGGCCCTGCGGCAGGTTAGTAACGGGGCCAGTGTCTCAGCCTGAGGCTGCCCGGCCCCGCCCAGAGCAGTTCGCTCACACTTCACGCGAGTAGGGCTGGAGACAGCCAGAAGATGGCTCCACCTTCTCTGCTCGGGCTCTCTGGGCTTCTGGATGAGGAGTACCGGCCAGGGACCTGAGGGCCTGAGCCGGAGAGGACTGCTGCCAGTGGTGTCCTGGCGGGAGCGGGCCTGGCAGGGCCTTCCAGGGTAGCTGGGGTAGGGTGTGGCGCAGTGGCTGGCACACCATTGGAGACACCCACACCTCACATGGAGCGTCTGGTTCAGGTGCCTGCTCTTGGGCATTTCGGGAGGCAGCAGCTGATGGCTCAAATCCTTGAGCCCCTGCCATCCATCTGGGAGACCCGGATCTAGTTCCCAACTCTGGGCTTCAGCCTGGCCCCGCCATGGCTGTTGCAGGCATTTGGAGTGAACCAGTAAATGGAAGATCTGTATTTTTCTCTTCTCTCTCCCTCTCCGTTTCCCTTTCTTTACTTCCCTCCTACCCTCCTCAAATAAAATGAAAATAGATGAAGACGGCAGTCCAGACAGGAGCAGGCTCTGGGCTGTGGCTGTGCCACAGAGGCCAATTCCTTCTTTCTTTATTTTTTTTAAGATGTATTTATTTTTTTACTCACAGTTACAGAGAGGCAGAGAGAGAGAAAGAGGAGGTCTTCCATCCACTGGTTCACTCCCCAGATGGCCGCAACGGCTGGAGCTGTGCCGATCAGGAGCTAGGAGCTGCTTCTGGGTCTCCCACATGGCTGGCAGGGGCCCAAGCACTATGGGCCATCCTCCACTGCTTTCTCAGGCCATAGCAGCGAGCTGGATTGGAAGTGTAGCAGCTGAGACTCAAACTGATGCCCATATGGGATGCTGGCGCTTCAGGCCAGGGTATTAACCTGCTGTGCCACAGCACCAGCTCCCAGAGGTCAGTTCTTACAGGGGACAAATCAAACCGTCTGTCTTGTTTCTCAGACCCTACCCTAAAGGTGATGAGAGGAAGAAGGCTTGTCTGTCAGCCCTGTCTGAAGTGAAGGTGCAACCAGGTAAGCAGTGGCCCGGAGGGGCTGGTGAGATGGAGGGGAGCTGCTGCTGAGCGCAGGGCTGGCAGGGAGGCGGTGGCTGGCCAGCCGGAGTTGCACACTGCCTTCTGAAGACTACACACCGTCCTCGGCAGCTGTCACCCCAGGAGAGGGTTCCCAAGTCCCAGTTCATGGTGCAGGGTGCAGTGCCGAGAGGGTGGTGTGCTGGGCCCCCACGAGGACTCTGTTCCTTGGTGCCTGTTGGCTGTTGCTGTGTAAAACTCTGCTTGGTGGTGTCAGATCCATGTGGTGTAAAGAGAAGAGGGAAATCCAGACTTCACCTCTCTGTTCCGTTTGGAGCTGTTGGTGTAAACTCGTCTTTTCAAACAGTTTGCACATCGTCATGTTGAGCTCATATACACGCACTCAGAGCCTCTGTCCCATTGTCAGGGGTGCCACCGCTTCTAGGGAGGGTGGTGACAGAAAGGATGGCACCATGCAGTGCACGCACGTCCGCCCCCAGCCCCAGGCTGCGGCCCAGGGAAGCCAGGCAGGGCACCAGAGCGAAGGACACGGAAGTGGTGTCTGTGAGGAACGTGGCTCGGTGCGTCCTCGTAGAGAAGTCTCGCTGGGGGATCTGTGAAAGGACAGAGGGAGGGAGGACCCCGAGTGGCCCCAGGATCCACGTCCACAGTGGTAGGGATAAGGACCGGCGGCCTCCGTGGGCTCTGCGTGTTGGAACCTGGCTGTGGCTTCTCCGTGATCCCTCTGTCCCACGCAGGCTGCTACCTGCCCAGTAACCCGGAGGCCATTGTTCTAGACATTGACTACAAGTCGGGGACACCGATGCAGAGGTGAGCGCGCCCGCCTGCCCCACGGTCTCTCAGCAGGAGCTCGTCAGCCATCACCTGCCACGGCCCTTGTGTTGCTCTCTTGCAGTGCTGCGAAAGCCCCGTACCTGGCCAAATTCAAGGTGAAGCGATGTGGAGTTAGCGAGCTGGAGAAGGAAGGTCAGTGAAGCATTCAAACTTAGTTTCGGGTCAAAATGCTTTTCTCATGAATGGTCTTTGCACTTGCCCTGCTCAGTGTAGCGCCAGCTCCCCATGAAAGATGATGTCCGCACACCCGTCTGGCCACCCTCAGGGCATGACGGGGAACTTGTAGGCAGTGGTGGATGGGCCCACCTGTCAGCCCCAAGTCAGCTGGCACATCCAGGGGGCCCCTTCTTAGGGCTGGGGGATCCTTGTGGGGTGTTCATTTCCTGGGGCTGCTGTACAAATGACCACATCTACAGAGACCCTGTTTCCAGATATGGTCACAGCCTAAGGTTTGGGTGAGCATGAATTGGAGGGGGATTCAACTCAGAGGGGGTGCGACCAGCTGTACCAGGGTAGGGATACTGTCTGTGACCTTGCCCACATTCTGGCCCTGAGCCCTGCCAGGCACCCCAGGGAGCAGATGCACTCCCCGATGCCCCAGCTCACAGTGCCCAGCACCGACCCCAGGCACACCTGGGCCCTCACTTCAGATGAAAATGGGACTGAGGTCTGAGTTCCATTTAAATGTAAACGTTCTTAGGAAAAGACCTCCTGGCCCTGTGACTCTGCCCACTGACCTGTGACATCTCCCGGGCCCTGCTAGGCCTCCCATCGGCCTCCGTGGGGCTTGGCAGAGATGACACCCACAGTCGACCCTGGGGTTCTTCTGGACACATAAGCAGGGTAGGCCAGCACCCTCAGAGGCTGCGCCACTGCCCTCAGGCTGACGGGTGGCCTCGCCCATGCACAGGTCTACGGTGTCGCTCCGACTCCGAGGAAGAAGGCTGCGAGCAGGAGGCCGACGGCCAGAAGATCTGCTGGCAGGCAGCCATCTTCAAAGTGGGAGACGACTGTCGGCAGGTGACGGAGGCTTCCCCAGCAAGAGGCAGACCGCTTCCCTTGTTTGGCTCGGGTGTCCCAGAGTGAATCAGAACTTCCACCAAACCGAGGCCTCCCTTGCCCCCTCCCACTCTACCTCCAGCACCTGCCCCGAGGAAAGTGGGGGCCTGGCAGCCTCGCTGGGAAGGGAGGCAAGGCTGTCCATACTCTGGCTCTGCCGTGGCCTCCGCCCATGCTGGGCCCTCAGCTTCGGTCCCAGATTGAGCTGTGAGGGCCACAGAGGTCAGCTGACCAGGTCTCCTGCCCGCCCCGCCTTCAGGACATGCTGGCGCTGCAGATCATCGACCTGTTCAAGAACATCTTCCAGCTCGTCGGCCTGGACCTCTTCGTTTTTCCCTACCGGGTGGTGGCCACCGCCCCTGGGGTAAGTGCCTAAGCGCGGCGGGGAGGCGGCCCCGCGCTCGCACTGGTGGCCTCTGGACGCAGCCCTCCTCCTAGTGTGGCGTGATCGAGTGCATCCCCGACTGCACGTCCCGAGACCAGCTGGGCCGCCAGACGGACTTCGGCATGTACGACTACTTCACGCGCCAGTACGGGGACGAGTCCACGCTGGCCTTCCAGCAGGTGCGCTCCCGCGTCCTCCACAGAAGCAGGTCCCTTAGGAGCTGGTATGGTGCAGCGGCCTGGGCTGCCGGTGCTTGCGATGCCCGCGTCCTACACTGGAGGACCTGGGTTCCAGTCCCAGCTCCTCTTCCAGCCCAGCATCCTGGGCGGCAACAGATGGTGGCTCAGGTGGTTGGGCCCCTGCCCCGATGTGGGGCCTCACCGTTGCAGTCATTTGGGGAGTGAACCAGTAGATGGAATCTCTGTCACTCTTTCAAATATGTTAATGGGGAAAAAACATCAGGTCACCTCTAACCTCCCTTGGAAGCCAGAGGGAAGTGGTAGCCCCTGCTGCCAAGGTCTCGCTGCAGGACTCTGTCTCCCAGGGGGCTGCACCGATCCAGGGAAGCGCTGCAGGCCCCGGGGGGTGCGGAGTGGGGAAAGCATCCATGGGCAAAGCCATCGTGACCCGCGGCTCTCCTTGCAGGCGCGCTACAACTTTATCCGAAGCATGGCCGCCTACAGCCTGCTGCTGTTCCTGCTGCAGATCAAGGACAGGCACAACGGCAACATCATGCTGGACAAGAAGGGCCACATCATCCACATCGGTCAGCCGGGCCCTCCTCCCACCCTCCGGGCTGGCGTGGGGGTGGGGGCGCGCGGTGGACACGCGAGTCCTGCCCAAGTGGCCTCTGGAGCTACAGGGTGAAAGCACCCTCTGCCTGCCGCCCCCCGCCCCCACCCCCGCGAACATGTGGCCTGGGGGTGGCGCGTTAGTGCGTGTCCACCAGCCAGCCTCCCTTCCTCGCCCGGACATCTGGGCACTGCTGTGACACATGCTCTGGGCCTTGGCAGACTTCGGCTTCATGTTTGAAAGCTCGCCAGGCGGCAACCTGGGCTGGGAGCCAGACATCAAGCTCACGGACGAGATGGTGATGATCATGGGGGGCAAGATGGAGGCCACGCCCTTCAAGTGGTTCATGGAGATGTGCGTCCGTGGCTACCTGGCTGTGCGGTGAGCCTGGGGCTCCCACGGGGGCTGTCCTTAAGGCCCTCTTTAGGATGGAGGAAGGCAGAGCTAGGGCACCTGGTAGTTACCCCTCTCTGTCCCGGTAACAGCAGCCTCTCCTCAGTACGGCTTTCTGGGCACCCCACCCACCCTACCACCAAAGCCAAAGCACCTGCCACCCCCAGCCACACAGTGGAGACCAGCACTGTCCTGATCCCACAAGGGTCACCTGGCCAAGCCACACAGTGGAGTATGGTGACACCTGGACCCCAGCCCACTCAGTGCCCACCACCATTCAGGAAAAGGATGATCAGGGTGTCTATGCCTCCCCCAGTGGGGAGCAAATGCCCCAGCTGGAATCCCCTCATGTTGTGGGGTGTGTCAGGGACTGGGGCAACAGGGCTTCCACAGAGGGATGCGGATGGTGTCGTCGGGAGATGGCGCGAGCCTGGCGTAGGGCAGCTTGGGCAGCGGCCAGGCTGCAGGACCTCAGGCAGGGCCGTCACCCAGGCTGGCCTCTGTCTACCTCTCACCTTCTCCCCCAGGCCCTACATGGATGCAGTCGTCTCCCTGGTCACTCTCATGTTGGACACGGGCCTGCCCTGTTTCCGCGGCCAGACAATCAAGCTCTTGAAGTAGGTTCCTTGGTAGATGCGCGGCACCTAGGGGCCCCTGTCCACTGGCCGAGACGGGAACCTGTGGTGTGATTGTAACTGGCCTTACCTCCTTGGAACCCAGAGCCATCAGGGCCCCTGGGCAAGACTCCGGGAAGTCCCAGCTCTGCCAGCCACACGGGCCACTCTGCGGCGAAGCTCCCTATGCTCAGTCTCCCCTCCAGGAGGCCGCTGGGCCTGGGCCGGGGCCCGGCAGGTCAGGTGTAGCCCTCCCAGCCCGCCCCATCTTCAACATGCACTCATGGCAGGGGGAGTCCCACAGGCACTAGCGTCCAGCCCCCAGGTGGGACTGCTGTCATCCTGGGTCGCCTCGGTCTCAGGCAGCAGCAGCCCCGGACTCGGTCTCTTCGCAGGCACAGGTTTAGCCCCAACATGACGGAGCGGGAGGCTGCGAACTTCATCCTGAAGGTCATCCAGAGCTGCTTCCTCAGCAACAGGCAAGTGCCCGCCTGCGTTTGCGGGGCGCGAGGCGGAAGCAGGCCAAGGCCCGGCGAGGATGCTGCAGTCAGGAAGTCAGGCCCTGCCTCTCCGTCCCTGCTTCTGTGCAGGCAGTGATGAGGAGGGCAGGCAGGGTTCTAGCTGGCCGGTGCTGGGGTGGGTTGGGGGACACCCCACAGCCAGGCCAGGAGGGCTGGAGCCAGAGGCCTAAACACAGCGGAGACGGAGGTGGCCAGGGCAGCCGTGGGGAGGCTCAGGCAACGTCCCTGAGCAGCAGCACAAGGGGTGCATGGACCTCCTGGGTTCGGCAGCTCCCCCATGCAGAAGGCAGCCATCACTGCAGGGAGCCGGAGCCCCAGGCTGGGCAGCCCCTCATGGCCTGTCTGCTCTGCCCATGGCCTCGCAGGAGCCGGACCTACGACATGATCCAGTACTATCAGAACGACATCCCCTACTGACGGGGCCGTGCAGCCCCGGCCAGAAGCTGCCCTGCAATCATGGAGCCAAGAGCCTGCCTCCACTCGGCCCAGCTGTCCCTCCAGGTGGCACCCCCAGCCCGCCCTGCGGTCAGAGCGGCTGAACGGCCGGGGGCGTGTCACAGGAGAGCTAGCTGCGGCCAGGCCTCTGCCAGCACCGCCGCGGCGACAATCGGATGGGTGCTGTCTGCGCAGTTGTGACCCTTCCTTTGCACTGGACACATTCCCTCTATTTCACTGGCACCCACGGGCAGGGCCAGGGGTGGGGAGGCTGAGGGAGTTGCCTCCACCTCGAGCTTCGTGGAGGGAGACTGTGTGGGCTGGTTCGAGTCCCAGGTCTTCCCAGCCAGCCTGCGTGTGGTCATGAAGCGCACACACAGCACTCCACACACTAGAGGCTGACTCCCCCACTTCCTGTCCTCTCCTGCTCACAGTGTCCCTGTCCTGGGGCTGCAGGCTCCCCTTTTCAAAGAGACCTTGACCATGTGCACCTCTGTAAAAACCCCTGCCACTCAGGGGCACATCTGGGGTTCTGCCAGCACCCCCAGGGCACCTGGGACCCCCACCCAGCACCAGTACCCCCCAGGGGCTCCCAGCCCCCTCTTGACAGGAGCTCCAAGCTCTCCCATGACTGGCGTTTCCCAAGAGTCAATTAAGACCTCTGGAGTTGATTAGGTTCTGACATTGATGCAACCCAGAATTAGCAAAAGGAGAAAAAATATGTTCTGATTAGTCCTCCACCTAATTCTGTCCAATTATTCTAAGTTCACACCTGCAGGGAGTGGACTATGAATATTTATTTATATCCCGGTTTTTTCATCAACTTTGTGAATCTAATTAACTTGCTGCCATGAGAACCTGGCTGTGGCTGTGGCTGTGCTAAGCTGGGGCTGGGGCTAGGGCAGGCTGAGCTGGGCGGGGCGGGGCGGGGTTGGGGCGGGGTTGGGGCTGAGGCTGGGGCAGGCTAAGCTGGGCTGGGGCTGGGGCTAGTCTGGGCTGAGCTAGGCTGGGCTAGGGTGGGGGCTGGGGCCGGGCCAGGGCTGGGCTGGGATGCACTGAGCCAGGCCAGCCAAGGCCAGGCCAGGGGGCTTGGCCTGGGAGTGCCGGGGACCTTCCCTCCATCCCCAGCAAGAAATGCTAGGGTGTCCACAGCACCCGGTTTGGGCTCAGCCTTGCGCCTGTCTCGGCCTCCTTCTCTTCATCCCGTGGGGGCGGGAGAAAGGAGAGGAAGGAGCAGCAGATCAGGGTTCCGAGGGGGAAACCCCAGCAGGGCTGCTGCCCCAGCGCTGACCATCCAGGGGCTGCCACCATGGACAGCGGATCCGGGAGGCACTGCCTGGTCTTCGACTGCTCTGCTTGGTCATCCAGGGCTAGGAGCCACCCCCTCCCCTGCACACCTGTCGCTGAGGCCACACATCCCCAGGCAGTGAAGAAGCCCGCGTGTGGTTTGAGGCCCAGGCCAGAGCTCAGGGCTCGGGAAACCTTTGTGGTTTGATGTGACTGGAAAGGCTGAGCTGGACACAGGACACAGGGACATGGACAGGGGCCACGGGGATGGGGTCTTCAGGATGAGGACAGGGCTGTTTTGCATAGAGCTGTCACAGCAGTATGGGGGTGTGTGGCAGGATCCTGGCAGACCCCAGAGTTTGGGGGAAGCTGGGACCAGCATGGGGACACTCTGATGACTCAGCTGCCAGCCGTGTTCAGGGACCCTGACCAGAGAGGTGACGCCCACTGTAAAGATGCAGGTCCCCCACAGCCCAGCCCCATTCTGTCCTGAACCCCAAGTTAGCAGACAGCAAGGGGCACAGGCACTGTGTTTTGAGTCAGCGAGGGCTGCAGGAGAGATGGTCTTGGGGCTCATGGGCCCTGACCCACATGCCTCCCAGCAGTGTTCCTGTTTGGGGGTGAGCTTACTGAGTAGGGGTCAGTAGTAGGTTGTTTGCTCCCAGTCCCTGCTGCCCCAGGCCTGCGATGGACAAGACCTGGAGACCCCCCACCCCTCGGGGTGGCTGGGAAGCAGGCACTGGGTGGGGGAGCAGCAGCACGGAGTGGGGGCAGGGAACTTTATGTCCTGCCTGGGGTCTGCTAAAAAAATTTTTAAATATCTTGAAATAAATCTAACCAAGGGTATCAAAGATCTCTACAATGAAATTACCACATATTAAAAGAAACAGAAGACAATAAAAAGAGGAAACATCTTCCATGTTCATGGATTGGAAGAATCAATATCTTCAAAATGTCTGTACTACCTAAAGTGATTTATAGATTCAATGTGATACCAATCAAAATATCAACAACATTCTTCTCAGATCTAGAAAAAATGGTGCTAAAATTCATATGGAAACAGAAGAGACCCTGAATAGCTAAAGCAATCTTAAGCAACAAAAACAAAGCTGGAGGAACCAAAATACCAGACCTCAAAACATACTACATGGCAGTTATAAACAAAACAACCTGGTACTGGCACAAAAACAGATGTGTAGACCAATGTAGCAGAAGTAAAAACTCCAGAAATTACTACATGCAGTACATACAGCCACTGTATCTTTGACAAAGGTGCAAAAAACAACCTCTGGAGCAGATAAGTCTCTTTAACAAATGCTGCTGGAAAAACTGGTTCTCTGCATGCAGAAATATGAAACAAGACCCCTACCTTACACCTTACACAAAAATCCATTCAAAATGGATCACAGACCTAAATATACACCATGACACCATCAAATTACTAGAGAACTTCGGGGAAACCCTACAAGACATTGGCATATGTTGATCAAATAAACATTTATTCTTCTTTGACATTTTATGTTTGAAGTCCTTGAGATCCTTTCTTCTATTTTCTCATAAAATAGGTAATAGATTACTGTGAACTAGTCACCCAATTATACTGTATGACACTAGGAACTTACTCATTTGATGTAACTCTGGCACCAAATATCCAAAATGTTTTCCTGTATAGTTTTAAAGAATGCATTTGTTTGAAAGGCAAAGACACAGAAACAGAATATGTGTGCATGTGTGTGTGGGAGAGGGAAAGAGAGGGAGACACCGCTTCCACTGGCTCATTCCCCATATGTCCAAAATAAGCAGGGCTGACTTGGGCCAGAATGAAACTGGGAGTTGGGAATTCATTACCTACTGCCCCTGGTATCCAAAGCAGAGTCTTTCTCACTACGCCAAATGCCTGTCATTCCACAAACTTTCAGAAATATTCTGAAATATCTCCAGCTTCCAGGGAATGAGGCCATAGTCCTCTGGGTCCACTCCATCACTGTTTCGTCTCCTGCTTCACCTTAACTTCACACTCCTCCACACATGACTGTGATATGATCTCTTACCCCCCATCAGCCTATCACCTCCACTTTTGTGTATGGTATAACATAACAATACAGCATCAACTTTTGGTATTTTGATACCAAGTCTGTCTCCACCTGAGATGCGGGTACTGACAACCCCAGCATGCCATGCTGCTCCGTGTCACCTGCTGGACCCTGTAACCCAGACAAAACAGGTCAGCAAAGCACAGAAGGACAGGCTTAAGGCAACAAATGCAGACCATGAGGCAGCAGGTAAAGGCCAAATTGGCATTTGCCAGCTTCTACCAGATTCCTACTCAGCTCCAGCTGCAGCATCTGTGGTAATGGATCCAGTACATGGTACCAGGAAGACCGGCCCACTAAGGTTGCCCAATGTGTACTCGACCTGGGGATCACATCTGAGGCAGAAGCAAACTACACATCCACGTGTCCAAAACTGGAACTATATCACTGTTACACCATACATTAAAATCACTCAAAATGAACTGAAGGTTTTACACAGAAAAATCTCAAAACTCACATCTCCCAGTAAAAAAGAAACATCCTTGACATTATTCTCAACAATGGTTGTTTAGATATGACAACTGAAGAAAAAAAAAAAAACACCCAAAAGCAAAAATAAGGAAATGGAACTACAAGAAACTAATATGTTTCTGTACAATAAAAAAAAAATCAGTAAAATAAAAAGGCAAAACAAGAAACAGAAAATGTTAATAAAACATGTATCTGAATAAGAGAGTAATACGAGAAACACATGCAAATCAAAAGCCAAGAATATAGTGAAAATGGTCAAAGCACAGGGTCAATTTTTCCAATGAAGATATACACACTATGTAGCCAATACAGGCATGTGAAAAAGTTCTCAACACTGCTGATTATTAGGAAAATGCAAATCAAGATTACAATGGTTGTCACCTCATATTTGTTAAAATGACTTATCAAAATTCAAAAAATAGCAACTGTGGACAGACAGAATGTAGAGAAAAGGGAACAAAAACTGCTGGTGGGAATGTAAATTGCTAAATCCATTATGAAAAGAAGTATGAAATTCTTAAAATAAAATTAAAAATAGAACTATCACTAGTGCTTATGAATCCAAAAGAAAATCACCAACTAAAAGAATTACCTGCACCCCCATGATCATTTCAGCATTATTCACAATTCCAAAATATGGAAATAACCCAAGTGTCTAATTTTTTTTGACAGGCAGAGTTAGTGAGAGAGAAAGGTCTTCCTTCTGTTGGTTCACCCCCAAAATGGCCACCATGGTCAGCATGCTGTGCCGATCTGAAGCCAGGAGCCAGGTGCTTCCTCCTGGTCTCCCATGCAGGTGCAGGGCCCAAGCACTTGGGCCATCCTCCACTGCCTTCCCAGGCCACAGCAGAGAGCCGGACTGGAAGAGGAGCAACTGGGACAGAATCCGGGGTACCAGCACTGTAGGCGGAGGATTAGCCTAGTGAGCCGTGGCACTGGCCTCCAAGTGTCTATTGACAGATGAAAAAAGAAAATGTGATACACACACAATAGCATCTTTTTCAAATCTTAAAAGGTTAGGAAATCCTATTTGTCACAATATGCATTCAAATGTTTGGATCTGGAGGACATTACACTGAGTGAAATAAAACACAGAAATAAGAGATACTACATGATCTCATTTATATGTGGAATACAAGAAAGTCAAAGTTACAAAAGCTAAGACAGGAGGGCTGGTGCTGTGGCACAGTGGGTTAATACCCTGGCCTGAAGCACCAGCATATCATATAGATGCCGGTTCGAGACCTGGCTGCTCCACTTCCTGTGCAGCTCTCTGCTATGGCCCGGGAAAGCAGTGGAAGATGGCCCAAGTCCTTGGGCCTCTGCACCCACGTGGGAGATCGGGAAGAAATTCCTGGCTCCCGGCTTCAGATGGGCACAGCTCCAGCCGTTGGGGCCATCTGGGTAGTGAACCATCGATGGAAGACACCTCTTTCTCTCTCTCTCTCTCTCTCTCTCTCTCTCTCTCTCTCTCTCTCTGTCTCTCCTCTGTGTAACTCTGACTTTCAAATAAATAAATAAATTTTTAAAAAACTAAGACAGGATGGGGGTGTGACGGACTGGGACTGAAGGAAATGAACAGATGTTAAACAATACAAATTTACAGTTATGAGATAAAGTTTTGGATATCTAATATATACAGCACAGTAACCACAGCTAACACTGTATTGTATAATTGGAATTTGCAAAGAAAAAAACACTGTTAAACTGATAGATATGTTAATTAGTTTGATTGGACAAATCTTTTCACAGCGTGGAAGTACCAGGAGACTCCAAAATGTTTGAGTGAAAATGGTGCATAGAGATAATGTGAAATTTACTTGAACTTTTTAAGAAGCCTCATATCAAAAGACACATTGCACGCCTTGAATATTTACACTTTTTAGTCAATTATGCTACAATAAATCAGGAAAACAAAACAAAAATAGGTACCTACTTTTAAAATACAAATCAAATTGAAAGAAAGTAGGCTTACATTTAGTAGACTAGGAAGTTTTCATGGGACAGAAATAATTTTTAAAATATTCATAAATTTGACTAACCTAAATTTCAAGAGGTTTGTATTCAAAAAGTTAGATGGGGGAAGCCTGTCAAGAACACATCCAGGGGCTGGCACTGTGGCGTGGTGGGTAAAGCTGCCACTAGTAGTGCCAGCATCCCATTTGGGCACTGGTTTGAGTCCCAGCTGCTCCACATCCAATCCTGCTCTCTGCTATGGCCTGGAGAATTAGTAGAAGATGGTCCAAGTCCTTGGGCCCCTGTATCCATGTGGGAGACCCAGAGGAAGCTCCTGGCTCCTGGCTTCAGATCAGTGCAGCTCTGGCCATTGCAAACATTTGGGGAGTGAACCAGCAGGTAAAAGACCTCTCTCTCTCTCTATGCATTTCCTCTCTTTGTGTTAACTCTAACTTTCAAATAAATAAATAAATAAATCTTTTTTAAAAAACTGCTGGGGCCGGTGCCGCAACTCACTAGGCTAATCCTCCGCCTTGCAGCGCCAGCACATGGGGTTCTAGTCCTGGTCGGGGTGCTGGATTCTGTCCCAGTTGCCCCTCTTCCAGGCCAGCTCTCTGCTGTGGCCCGGGAGTGCAGTGGAGGATGGCCCAAGTGCTTGGGCCCTGCACCCCATGGGAGACCAGGAGAAGTACCTGGCTCCTGCCACTGGATCAGCGCGGTGCCTGGCTGCAGCGCACAGGCCATGGCGGCCATTGGAGGGTGAACCAATGGCTAAAAGGAAGACCTTTCTCTCTGTCTGTCTCTCTCACTGTCCACTCTGCCTGTCAAAAAATTAAAAAAAAAAAAACTGCTGGAAACAGAATTTAAACAAAAAAAGATGAAGCCTGGGGCCAGCACTGTGGCGCAGCAGGTTAAAGCCCTGGCCCACAGTGCCAGCATCCCATATGGGCACCAGTTCTAGTCCCGGCTGCTCCTCTTCTGATCCAGCTCTCTGCTATGGCCTGGGAAAGCAGTAGAAGACGGCCCAAGTCCTTGGGCCCCTGCACTCATGTGGGAGACCCGGAAGAAGCTCCAGGCTCCTGACTTTTGATCGGCTCAGCTCTGGCCATTGCAGCCATCTGGGGAGTGAACCAGCAGATGGAAGACCTCTCTCTTTCTCTACCCTTCTCTGTACCTCTGTCTTTCAAATAAATAAAATTTAAAAATATTTGAAAAATAAAAAGATGAAGCCCAAGAAAGACTCTCAGATGCCACCACTAGTTACTGATGACCAAAGTAACAAAGGCTTAGTTCACCACATTCCATGAGAAGTAATCCACAAAGCATAACACCTATGGATTTATTTATTTATTTATTTATTTTATTTTTTGACAGGCAGAGTGGACAGTGAGAGAGAGAAACAGAGAGAAAGGTCTTCCTTTTGCCGTTGGTTCACCCTCCAATGGCCGCCGCGGCCGGCGCGCTGCGGCCGGCGCACCACGCTGATCCTATGGCAGGAGCCAGGTACTTATCCTGGTATCCCATGGGGTGCAGGGCCCAAACACTTGGGCCATCCTCCACTGCCTTCCCCTGGACACAGCAGAGAGCTGGCCTGGAAGAGGGGCAACCGGGACAGAATCCGGCGCCCCGACCGGGACTAGAACCCGGTGTGCCGGCGCCGCTAGGCGGAGGATTAGCCTAGTGAGCCGCGGCGCCGGCCCCCTAACACCTATGGATTTTAAGATTTTGTCTTTTTAAACTACAGGTACAAGCAGGGATTTCATTTCCTCAACTCAATTTTTGGCACCAATTACATGCCACCGTTTGTGGATACAACTGTGTTTTCCCCTCTTTCTCCCTCAGGTCTAAAAATACCATAATGGTACTATTTCAATATTTCAAAATCTAGCTTAGAAGAAAAAATGATCTATTTTTAGTTAATCAGAGTTTACAATTTTACAGCTTTCTGCAAAAACATACTCAGCAATTAACCATTACTTCCTAAAATTTCCTAAAATGAGTACTCAGCCAGCAGCCATTACTTCCTATAATTTTGGAGGAGTTCTCTAACGGAATTGCCTCTGATGATAAACAGTCCCCATATTCTTAGTCAATGTAAAAATATGCAAGGAAGATGTAGATTTTTAGATGATATTTCTCTTCATATTACCACGTTTGTTAAGTGAATAGAAAACAGGCAATTATAACAGGATATATTCCTCAAGAACTTTTCACATAATTATGAAAACACTGCACATCACAGAGACAGAATCAGAGTTCAGTGGGGGGATGGCATCAGTACTCAAATAACTTGAAAAGTGGTAGAGATTAACACAGTGTCAGGGCATCTTAATTCCCGCCCTCAACAGAAGACTACCCACCTGGCATTTCCCCAACCTAGTATCAGAAGGCAAATAGGCAGGCTAAATCCCACCAATGTAATCTACACTTTAGCGTATATAATAGAATATACAATTCATCATATACAATCCAATCTACCATTTATAGCGTACAATGTAACACACAATTTATTCTTCCTACCTCCCGCTCCTGAAGGCACGAGTTCCCGGGCCTGCGGCCAGAGCCCACATGAGAATGTGCACAGATTTCCACAGGACTTACCGGGCCAGGATGGATGACCCTGCAGACTCCGGTGAGCCTACTGCCGCCTCCTCCACCAGCGGGACCGCGCTTCCTGCAGTTGCGGTTCTTCGCCTTTCACCTCCTTGTTCCGTGGGTCCACACCAGCACTCAGCATCCACCTGAGGAAAGCAAGCCGTGACGTGGGACTCCAAGGATGCAAAAGGACAAGAGCGTCCCTGAGCAGCCCTAACACAACGGAGTACGTCAACTCTGATTGGATAACCACCCACAGACTCCAGCCAATCAGAAAGCAAAGACCGAGTCTGCACAGCCTTGCTAGGGGTCGTGGCTACAGGTTGCCAAGCCGGTCATGCTGTGTGGTTCAGGAGGCAGTGGCCAGCGCCTCCAGAGTGATAGGGCAGCAGGTCATTTTTCTAATGATGTCAACTCTATACTCTCCCCATGGAAAGTATCCACATGTCGCTAAGCCAGCGGCTCGGGGCACCCGTTATCGCGGGGGTGCGGAACGTGCCTGGTGGGGTGGCCGGGCCCCCTCGCCTCCTCGACCCCCACTCAGCCCCTCGGCTCTCCTCCGGGCCAACCACACACACACGACTTCCCAGCCTTATCGAAACAGGACCCTCCTGGGCACCCCAGGATCCTGCAGAACCCTAACTCCCCTCACCTTCCATGAAGGCCCGTCCCGTCCCCCCGCCCCCCGGGGACCCCGCGCAGCCCTCCCACTCTCCAAGCCCCAGAGCCCTGCCACCCCACCAGATGGTCTGGAATACCTGGGCCATCGGTGACGGCTGCCTCCCTGGGTCACACTGGAGAGGCGGGACTGGAAGCGCCCTGTGGCTTCAGATGCTGGATGCTGCAGTGTGCAGATGCGTCCCATGGCGCCATGGCGACGGCCAGAGGGCAGTGCGCCTGCGCCTGGCACTTTGCCCCGGAAGTGCACTCGCACGCACGCACGCGTGGCCCTGACTGCCCCGCGGGCGCTCAGGTGGGAGTCAGCATGGCGTCCGCTGCTGCCCGAGAGCCTGCGCGAGCCGTGAGGAGAGGAGCCGTCCACTGAAACCAAAAGCTATGTGACTGACCTGTTGCATGTAACAAAAGTTCCAGAGGTAGCATGGGTTTCAGATATAGAATCCACGGAGTGCATAGCTCTCTGATCCTGTGTGCTTGAGCGTTACTGGTCAGACGTTCCCACTGCCAGCTGCTAGTCAGATCACTGCTGATCTGCGGTCTTCTGTGAGTAGAGGCTCCCCAAGAGTGGAGAGGGTCCCCTCATGGTTTACCTACATCTCAAAATGAAACTGGCTTTCGGAGTTCTGGCTGGGGTATGAGAATCTTGGACTGAGTGGTTGGTCACTTTATGGTGCGATAGGCCCTGCACCTCTTTCTTTGCTCAACCTGCAGGGAATTGTAGTCGTCTGTGCCTAGCATGGTTTGCCCACGGCAAGATCTTCTTGAAGTATCCAAAGAGTGTTCTCACTCTTGGGGTTGTGATAATTAAATTTTTTTTTTCAAAGAAAGCATTGTCTCTAGTGGGTGTCTAGCTTTTCTGCCATTTCATGGAATTTGTCAAATGAGTGGCAAATTCTGTAGTCTGATGGAATTTATTTGCTTGTTTATGAATCAGTCCTGAAAAATGTGAAATTTATCATTTAGTCTAGTAAAGCGCAGAGTTATGATTTTTCTCCTTGATAGTACTCGAGTTTTCACTATTTGTGTAAAAACAACTTTGGGGCTTATAAATTATAATTGCTCAGGATGTAATAGTTTGACAGGTTTAATAGATTTGTTTTCCTTCATTAAACTTTATCATATCAGTTAGGGAAACATTCATGGAGAAAGTAACTGTAGCGCGGTTTGAAACAAAGTAACTGTAACAGTTTGAAAGAAAGTAACTGCGCAAGCCTGCAGCTTGAAGGAAAAGTAAAGTAGTAGCCACCCTAGCTGGTAAGATTTGAAAGTGGATGGCCTAACTAGACTGCCTAACCACAAACTGTCGTTGCCATGACGACGGGACCCTGGGAGGTCGGAATGTGGGCGGGGCTAGCCTCTAGAAACTGTATATCAGGGGACCCTCAGACACTGTAAACCAGAGGTTGCTCAGCCTCTCTCCCCGGCCCGTAGTGCCTAGTGCCCGCGGGGAGAAGCTCCTGGTCCGTAGTGCCTAGTGCCCCCAGGAGTAGGCTTGAGCGATCTCTCCTCCTACTCGCCTAGAGTATCAATAAAGTGTGTTTAGCTTGTCCTTCCTCAGTCTCCTCGACTCTTCCTTCACCACCTGGCCAGTTCCCGAAGGAGGAGATCCTGACAGCTGGTGCCCGAACAGGGACTTGAAGTCAGACGGTGAGGAGACGAGCCCTTGAGGAATCGTCAAAAGGGTGAGTAGTGGTGGTTGAAAGAGACCACGATGGGTGGGACGTCCCAGTCAAAAGAATATAGACAGGCACTAGTGAGTATAGAGAAGGTGAAGGTCCTTCCAGGCCAGGCACCAAGAGGCAAGAAAGTGAAGGGCTACTCACCAGGAAATGTAATATGGGCTTGTAAGCTGGCAGCAGCTTGTACAGGACGGGACCTCCAAGATCTGCAGACCTTGGAAGAGGTAGAAAACCTCTTGAAGCAATTTCTACAAAAAGGAGAAGGCGCCATAACAGGGAAAAACTATAAATGTGCAGTAGACACCCTTAAGGTGTTAATTTGTTGTGGCAAGGGATTAAATCCAAAAAATACAGGAGATGCCTGTAAGCTCTATGACGCCATAGAAGAATGTAGGCAAAAACCTCAGGTTGTTCCCAGAGAGTTAAGAAAGGAAGAAAAAGCAAAAGAACAGTCAGCATACCCAATAATGTTAAGAGGTGGTAGGCGAGAATATGAGCCTGTGGGACCTGGACTAATAGCGCTTGGTTTAAACAAGTGCAGGAACACGGTCTCACGCACCCAGCTACCATCACTTATTTTGCGGTAATTTCAGTAAACTTTACATCGGTAAACATCAATATGCTACTGAATGTAACTCCTGGCTTTGCAGCAGAGAAACAGCTAGTCATAGACAAGATAAAAGAGAAGGCGACAGTATGGGATGAGATGCATCCCCCTCCCCCAGCCGACGCGGCTGGACCAGTGCCACTAACATCCAATCAGATTAGGGGAATTGGATTATCACCAGAAGAAGCAGCTGGCCCTAGATTTGCTGATGCCAGAACCCTCTATAGAACATGGGTTCTTGAGGCGCTTCAAGAATGCCGGAGAACTATCAGTGGGGCCCCTAAAGCAGTCAGCATCAGACAAGGGCCCAAAGAACCCTACCCTGAGTTTATTAATCATTTACTCAGATTGATATGGAAACATCTAGAGAGGATTTGAGAACATATTTAAAGGACACCATGAGCATTCAAAATGCTAATGAAGAATGTAAAAAGTTGCTTAGAAATGTAAGACCAGGAGATTTGTTAGAAGAAAAAAATGTATGCCTGTAGAGAATTTGGGTCCACCTCCTATAAGATGGCCATGCTGGCAGAAGCCTTAAAGGCTGGAGATAGACAGCAAGGGTCAAGAAGTTTTCAGGGAACTTGTTACAGATGCGGAAAAAAGGGGCATATGGCAAGAAATTGTAGGAGTGGAGAAAAAACTCCGCTAAAATGCTGTAATTGTGGGAGAACAGGACATATGGCAAAAGTATGTAGACAGCCAAAAAACGGGAAAGCGGGGGGCAATGCCCCCCGGACCATGATGGCATCTGCCCAGAATATTCATTCATCTATCCCACCATCTGCCCCACCCCTGGGGGAAACACAGATGGAAACCCCTGCGACAGGGATCTACCCAAAACTACCAAAATAGAATTAAAACAAAGACCTACCTGAAAGGTAAACCTAGGGGGGAAAGATATAATAGGGCTGTTAGACACAGGGGCCGATTTAACTATAATAAGGGAACAAGAGGTTAAAGGAATAAAAAAAGGGATCACAGAAGGATGGTAAAATATAGAGGGGGTGGGAGTGTGCTCTAAATTACAAAAAATATCACAGGTTATGCTGAAAGACAAAAAAGGAAGGAAGACAAAGACATCCATTCTGCTATCCCCAGATATTCCCATCAATATATTTGAAAGGGATATCTTAACAAAGTTAGGGGTAGCCCTAATTATGGCGCAACTCTCTACCCAAATTACCCCAATAAAGATAAAAATGAAAGATCCTAATAAAGGTCCCTTGATTCCCCAATGGCCTTTAACCAAAGAAAAATTAGAAGGAATTAAGGAAATAACAAAAAGACTACTAGAGGAAGGGAGCATTTATGGAGTATCCAATCTGTTCTGGTTCCTTTTCCTTAATGTGACCACCTTGTACTACCAGGCTTATTTGAGTTGCATTTATTTGTGAAACTAATTTGTCAATATTTTCATTGCCTGGGATTCACTTATGTCCAGGCACCCATTGGATATAAATTTCTTCTTTACTTTCTATAGCTTCTAGTATGGTTCTAAGCAAGGGTTCTTCAACATTTACAGGTAGGGGTCTGGCATCAATGTATATACATATTGGGAATCCGTAACTATATTCATATGTACCAGTAAATATGTCTGATTTGACTATACCAATAAAACCGATGTGCAAAAAAAGAGACTTTGGAGTAACAGCAGCTATTGTCACTATAGCGGTGTCAGCAGCCGCAGTAGCTGGCGCTGTGACTGGAGCACTGGCTCTAAGCACTACCCAACTACAGGGAGATGCTTTGGAGTCCCTCCTGAAGGTAATTCAGGGCAGTGGGCTCAGCTAGGTGACCAGTCAGCACTGCTTAAGACACATGCTATGGGGCTCCAGATGCTCGAAGCACGCATAGTACAAATAGAACAGATAATTACTATACTAGCTTTGGAAAGAGAACTCAAGTGTGAAGTGATTGGAAGAGTTTGCATTACCACCATTCCGTGGAACAATCTATCCATTCCTAATGCAACACAACTAGCTGATATGTTCAAACACAACCATTCTACCTGGCTAGAGTGGGTAAATGCAACCGCTCATCTTGAGGCTAACATTACTAAGAGAGCTTTACAGATAATACAGCTTCAAAATATAGTGGCATTTAAGATAGGTCAAGTCAGAACAGTGGAACAGACAATAAATACTCTGACTGACACAGTTTCCTCTTGGCTCCCATCCTGGAAATGGTTTAAAATAGGAGCAATATTTTGTATGGTTCTTGTATGCTTGCCTATCTTACAGCACCTCTTAATTGGACGGAATTTTGCGAAGGGATAGCTAGCCCTCCGAAAGGAACCCAGCCCACAAATAGAAGAAGAAGAAGGAGAAGGAGAAGGAGAAGAAAAGAAGATCCTGAATCTGGAAATCAATCCGGAATATGCTCAAGAATGTTCATCCCCTTGGCCCAGCGGCTCAACGGGCTTTGCAGGGCTACGAGCGCATTTAAAGAAAAGAAAAGGGAGGACTGTTAGAGAACCATTCATGGAGAAAGGAACTGTTGTGTGTTTTGAAACAAGCGCAGTTTGAAACAAAGTAACTGTAGTGCCCTTTGAAAGAAAGTAACTGTGCATGCTCTCAGCTTGAAGGAAAAGTAAAGTAGTAACCACCCTAGCTGGTAAGATTTGAAAGTCCTAGCTGGTAAGATATGAAAGTGGACCGCCTAGCATCCTATTGAATGGGGAAAAGTTGGAAGCATTTCCGCTGAGATCTGGCACCAGACAGGAATGCCCATTCTCACCACTGCTATTTAACATAGTTCTGGAAGTTTTAGCCAGAGCCATCAGACAAGAAAAAGAAATTAAAGGAATACAAATTGAGAAGGAAGAAGTCAAATTATCCCTCTTTGCAGACGATATGATTCTTTACTTAGAGGATCCAAAGAACTCTACTAAGAGACTATTGGAACTCATAGAGGAGTTTGACAAAGTGGCAGGATATAAAATCAATGCACAAAAATCAACAGCCTTTGTATACACAAGCAATGCCATGGCTGAGAAAGAACTGCTAAGATCAATCCCATTCACAATAGCTACAAAAAGAATCAAATACCTTGGAATAAACTTAACTAAGGACGTTAAAGATCTCTACGATGAGAATTACAAAATCTTAAAGAAAGAAATAGAAGAGGATACCAAAAAATGGAAAAATCTCCATGCTCATGGATTGGAAGAATCAACATCATCAAAATGTCCATTCTCCCAAAAGCAATTTATATATTCAATGCAATCCCAATCAAGATAACAAAGACATTCTTCTCAGATCTAGAAAAAAATGATGCTGAAATTCATATGGAGGCACAAGAGACCTCGAATAGCTAAAGCAATCTTGTACAACAGAAACAAAGCCAGAGGCATCACAATACCAGATTTCAGGACATACTACGGGGCAGTTGTAATCAAAACAGCATGGTACTGGTACAAAAACAGATGGATAGACCAATGGAACAGAATTGAAACACCAGAAATCAACCCAAACATCTACAGCGAACTTATATTTGATCAAGGATCTAAAACCAATTCCTGGAGCAAGGACAGTCTATTCAATAAATGGTGTTGGGAAAACTGGATTTCCACGTGCAGAAGCATGAAGCAAGACCCCTACCTTACACCTTACACAAAAATCCACTCAACATGGATTAAAGACCTAAATCTATGACCTGACACCATCAAGTTATTAGAGAACATTGGAGAAACCCTTCAAGATATTGGTGGCATAGGCAAAGAGTTTCTGGAAAAGACCCGGGAGGCACAGGCAGTCAAAGCCAAAATCAACTATTGGGATTGCATCAAATTGAGAAGTTTCTGTACTGCAAAAGAAACAGTCAGGAGAGTGAAGAGACAACCGACAGAATGGGAAAAAATATTTGCAAACTATGCAACAGATAAAGGGTTAATAACCAGAATCTACAAAGAGATCAAGAAACTCCACAACAACAAAACAAACAACCCACTTAAGAGATGGGCCAAGGACCTCAATAGACATTTTTCAAAAGAGGAAATCCAAATGGCCAACAGGCACATGAAAAAATGTTCAAGATCACTAGCAATCAGGGAAATGCAAATCAAAACCACAATGAGGTTTCACCTCACCCCGGTTAGAATGGCTCACACACAGAAATCTACCAACAACAAATCTACCAACAACAGAAATCTACCAAGATGCTGGCGAGGATGTGGGGAAAAAAGGGACACTAACCCACTGTTGGTGGGAATGCAAACTGGTCAAGCCACTATGGAAGTCAGTCTGGAGATTCCTCAGAAACCTGAAGATAACCCTACCATGCAATCCAGCCATCCCACTCCTTGGAATTTACCCAAAGGAGTTTAAATTGATAAAGAAAAAAGCGGTCTGCACCCTAATGTTTATTGCAGCACAATTCACAATAGCCAAGACCT